AAAATACATAAAAGTAAATTTACTTTTCTGAGAATGTTTAGGCCAGCAGAGAAGGCCTTGCTGGCCCTGAGGGTCCCACTGTATGTATGTTATATATATATAAAATTTATTTATCCATTTCCTTCACAATGTTATGTATAGGAACACTTTACGTAGTTGTCCTGTAATTCCAGTAAATAATAATGAAATTATATATATATATATATATATATATAGTTGTGGTCAATTTTGCAGATTGCTTTTTCCATTTACAATATCTCTCCTTTATTTACATGTACAGTAATGTTTTTCAAAATTGCAACACCGTCCTTTCACTTGCTGTCCCCCAATCAGTCTTCAAGGGGGCCAGAGGGGGCCAGATCCTGTGACCCTAACGACGAGGCGATAATGTGAAAACAAACTGTATTAAATCCACCGTTGACCTCGATGACCTCTCTGCTACATGTCACACCAGATAACAAATGAATGAACACAAAGTCTACCCAGATTATGTTACATTGTCCTGATTTACTGGGATCGTCCAAATTGGCATAAAATGTCAAAGCCTGCCATGAGACCAGCACATAAAAATTTGGGCCTGAAGCTGGGCAGCAAGACGAATGGATTCTGAAGCAGCATTAATAAGCGGAACATACAAATGCGATGCTAAGCCATTTAATATTTTTGTTAAACTGATATTAGGATTAGAATAGTTTTGGATTTTTCATTGCAGTTCATTTTTAGTTCATTTTGACTGTTGTTTTGAAAGTTCAGTTCTTTTTAATGTTTAAGTTTTTGTTGTTGATTTTTTTGGGGGAGCAATGCTTTGTTTTCGCTTACTTTTGAATAGTTTTAGTGTTCATGTTTTTAATGTACGAAGTATTTGATGAGTGCAATATTTTAAAAAAGTAATAAATAAAAGTATTGTGTAATAAAGTACAATGTAAACAAACAACTGACCTTCTTTTTTCTGTAGCTGTAGATGTGCAGCAACATATTTAAAATATTTTAAATATATTTAAAATCAACCCCGAAAGGTCATGTGCAACAATAATTGACAAAGACAAAAATAAAGAACATTTTCACGATAATTATAATTAGTTTTTGTTTGTTTTATAAACAAAAGACATAGTTTCAGTTAGTTTTGTTTTTTCAAAATCATTTTTGGTTTTATTTTAATTCATTCCCGACGTTTTTTTTTTTCAATTATAGTGACTGTACTTTATTAATTTTCGTCAACTATCATAACCGTGATAATATTCAATTCTGAATGTGGGGTCAGTGGGGGTGCCACAAAACATGTTGCCCTCAGAGAGAGATGCCTTCATTTTACTGAAGTTTTTGTCTTGCTTTCAGCAATGAAAAGTTCTCTTCAGAATACATTTGTGTGTGTTGCCGTTTTTTTTTTTGTGTCGGGGGTGAGGGAGGGTCTCACAAAGCTCACCCTAAGTGACAGAAAAAATGCCACATTTTGAAAACTTATAACTAAGAAAGAGAGAAATATTTTTTAAAGCCAAATATTACCATATTGCTCAGTATGAAGTCAACATGAAAGGTGGATAACCACCATGACAACACAAAAAAAGCCTGTCCCGATACTCTCAATTCACGCAACTGAAAAAAAATAATAATCCTACATTGCCCTTGTGTAAACGAGCCCTCAAACTGTCTCTGAGATTTATATATATATATATATA